GGGACTCTTCTTGAAGGAAGAAAGAGTAGACAGCAGAAAGGCTGGGAAAAGGGGTTTGAATAAGAATTTGACTCTGTAGGCTAGAGTATGATTCATTTAGACCAACAAGAAATTTTTGAACAGATTCTTTGTCAAGCAACTGTTGATATTTTTCATGAATTTTACAAGTGCAAAGACCACAGAACAAAGTGGAAGGGCTTTGAAATCAACATATTCATCCCAAAGGCCTTTGAACAGATTATAATAAGTCGTAATATTTTGAGTTCCCTGATAAATATTTCCTAGGGATTTTTCAAGGTAAAAGACTCTAGGACCGTCACTTTTTCCATATCTCAGTTGTATTTCATCCCAAAGATCTTTAGCAGAAGTGAAATACAAGAAAGTAGAACGAATTTCAGGAGCAATTGAATAGATCAACCAAGAAAGTAGTAAGGCATTGATACGATACCAAACAGCATATGTAGCAGAGTCTTCTGGATTAGGTTGCTTGAGAGAGCCATCTAGAAAAGCCATTTTGTTCTTCACAGTGAACGCCATAGTGACGGATTTCTTCCAAGCGTTGAAATTATCTCCAGTGAGCGTCTCATAGATGATGCGTTGACCACCATGATCACTAGGATGCAGATAGTAAGGTGAGGAAGGATCTTCAGTTGGATGCATAGGAAATATACCAGACTGATTCATCGCAACAGAATTTGTGCGAAAAAAAACTAGGGTTTCAGAAACAATTGATCTCGAAAGAAAAGAGAAATTCGATTATAGAAATCAAAATTGAAGAAAGTTATATGATTTCGATGTATGATCAGAACCTAATCTGATACCATGTTGATGTTTAAACTCAAGAATCGAAGAGGAATTGAAGAAGATGAACAGTATGTGTTATTCAGAGTAGATGAGCGGAAGTTCAATACAATGAGAATACTTTCAGATACCTAATTTACATTGGTTTAGTCTAATTTATATCAAGTACAAACAGGCCTATCAGCTATATAAACAGAATACAAATAGGCCCAAATAACTAAAGAAAGCCCAAGCAAATTCGGGTTATACTATTATTGTTTTATCATGCATCAATTATGTCTTAAAGAGACACTAGGATGCATTAGGATGCGATATTTTCCAATAATTCTACAACATGTGCACGTAGTCTTTTGAGAAAGTAGATGTCTGGATTCATACTAAGAAAGCATCAAAGATTTGTGTTACAATACATGTCTGAGCATGTCAGATTTGGAGGTGAATATTATTTGTTTCGATTTTTTAGATATTTGATACTTCCTCCGTTCTTAAATAAATGCAACGGTCAACATTTCACCCTTGTCGAGACACAACTTTGACCATTAATATATATGATTTTGTATTAGTAAAAAAAATTTAAAAAATTAGATTATGAAAATTTACAATGAGACAAGTTTGACAATATTTTTTTCATAAAAAAAAATTATTATATTAATAAATAAAACGTAGTCAAAGTAGAACATGTGAATAGTGTAAAAGTCAAAGTGTTGCATTTATTTAAGAACGGAGGTAGTATGAAGGATGCACGTCTATGGATTAAAATATGACATGATATTTTATATTTCTAATTAAGATAATTGAGTTTGAAGAATGTTTATATAATTGGTAAGTTACCGGCAAAGTTATACATGTAAACTTGTTTTCCCTATTATAGACATATATATAATATGATCCATATGATAATTTATGAAAATTTGAGTTTTCAAGTCTAATGATATCATTAAAGTTGTATGAGTGCAGTTTAAAAATCAGAAAATGAATACCATGGGATTGGCAATTCTTTTTGAGCTTAACAATAATCTTATTGAGAAGTTGGTGGCTTGGAGCTATTTAACACAATTTACCTTTATTTTGAAACATTGACGTATAAAGTTAAATGAACTCATTGCATAAATTTAGACATGAATAAAATTCATATTCATGATTTCGAAATGTTTCTAAGATTTGTTTTCTCAATTAAACTGTTATCAATGAATTAGTTTTTTTATGTTTCCTGTATAAATTTTAAAGTCCCTCTTTGCATTTGAGTACCAAATAATTAATCATGTGTCATCATCTCATTTTTTGGTGACAAATAAAATGTATTCATGAATACTTTTAAAGTATGATCGAATGATTCACCCCATAATAAACTAATTAAATTATACACGTTTATCACACTTATTCTTGTGTAGTGATTATATAACTCCATAATAAGCTAATTAACTCCAACTTTTACTCATAAATACTCTCGGGAGATTTATTGCATTCTAATCTAATATATATATATATATATATATGGATTGGTTCCTGTGAGAAATGAGCTTCAGGAGAGAAAAAAAGAATGACATCTGGCCATTCTTTCGTTAAATCGTGCGGCACGTAAATGATTGATACGAACTAAAAGCAGCATATGATTTGAACGTGCTAGCATATAATTTGGAGTCATCCGTACTACAATAATGAGTAAAGGATAGTTAGGTAAAAGACTCCAAATTAATTGATGCGTGACTTGCACGAGTACTACATTGCTGCAAAGGAATCCTCCAAATTTGGATACTAATTAATGCGCAGTAACTTCCACTCACAATTAAATTTCCTATTTAAATTTCTTTGAAAATATAATATTCTCTCACATTTAATTTTGTTACTTATTCTTTCAGATACAATATTTCATGGCTTGTTTATTTGCACTCCAATATTGAATAATTGCACTTTTATTCAAAACTCTATGCACAATCATTTGAGTTGAATGTTTATTTCGTTTTCTAAAATGAATAATATGTAGTATATTATAACTTTAACTTTGTTTTTTTGTCAAAGCATCAATCTTGCTTGGACACTGTGTAATACTTATTTACGTATTCTTTAGATATCATATATATTGAGATTAAATCCTCCAACTAATAATCAAAGAAATGAATCTAAAGAGAAATATTATTCTTATAACATTAACCTGCACTCATGTATCATTAGCCTGCACGTTTTATGATCTGCACTTCTTTCTTTGTAGTCGTTCACTTTCATATATTTTTAAATAAAGATGCAAATAAATATGCACGGGTGTAAACTAACAATCATCATGTGCATTTTAATATAAATACAAGTGCATTATTACATCACATTTTCTAAAATTTTACGTTAGCACTTTCTCACAAAATGAAATGCACATTTATCATGTGCATTTAAATATATCCCAAAGTGCGTGAATAAAGTATGATAAGTGCATCAAAGTTCAACAATATATTTTGATAAATAGGGGTCAAAAGTGCATGAAAGTGGTCGTGCTGGTGCACTAATGGGGTCAAGTGCTTCATTAACAATGCAATATAGATAAATTTAAATAATCAATATTGTTACAAGTATGTACACATTTATGTCCACATTTTTTATTAGTAATATTGTTTGGAAAACAACTCTGAATGCCTACAATAAATTACTTTGAATATAATATTCAAAAAATATTGTAGTGACAATCCATGGCACATGATGATGTGAAATGCTTGATGAAGACATAGATATGTACGAAAAATATAAAAAACGAAAAAGAAGAAGAGAAGCAAAAATGGAATTAAATGATTGAATAAGACATCCAAGGAAAGTTGATATTTTTTCGGTGGATGTGGTTTAACCGTTTTAGGAATCGCCGTACACATAAAATTGGGAGGAAGAAATGACATCATTAACCTCCTGGAAGAGCAATCACACGGAAGAATTAAAACATGATCTAATGGTCCTTATTTATTCTTTTTTACTCTCCTAAGATTAAGTTCTCACATGAACCTAAATCTATATATATATATATATATATATATATATATATATATATATATATATATATAGTGCTCTTCTCATCAGGCCGGCCTGACGGGATGCTCCGGCCGGCCGAGCCCATTTGGGCACCTTTCCGGTGAAATTTTTTGATGAAATTTTTTGAGCATGTTCCCCATCAAGTCTAGTTTGTTCATACCAAATTTCAGCTCAAAATTCGATCGGGAAGGCATTCAAATCATTTTTTGAAGTTGACTGCGTCAAAATATACATATAAAACTGCAGTCAACTTCAAAAAATGATTTGAATGTCTTCCCGATCGAATTTTGAGCTGAAATTTGGTATGGACAAACTAGACTTGATGAGGAACATGTTCAAAAAATTTCATCAAAAAATTCCACCGGGAAGGTGCCCAAACGGGCTCGGCCGGACGGAGCAGCCCGTCAGGCCGGCCTGACATGAACATATATATATATATATATATATATATATATATATATATATATATATATATATATATATATATATATATATATTTATTTATTTATTTATTTAGGATCAAATGAGAAAAAATTTTAACGTGAGAACATGAAAACACCATATTTACCCCAATGTGATGCACAAAGAGGCTCGCCCAATGCACATTTTCGTGTTTGGCATGATATTTGCCAAAATGCCACCGTGATTATTTATATTGGCTTGTTTTGAGTAAAGTCAAAATGTGCACCAGACGGGCTCTATTGTGTATCACATTGTGTTAATTGTGAGTGTTCTCACATTAAGCATCGTTCTCATTGGAACCACACCTTATATATATATATATTTTTTTTTTCCAAAATATATATATATATATATATATATATATATATATATATATATATATATCTGCTTAGATAAGAGATCACATACTAACCATGCTTAAAATACTAACTTACTAACTCAATAATATGCAACACATTGAACTTCAATATGCAGTACAGATAATGTAAAGATGCACACTGTGAATTTCAATATGCAATAAAAACAATATGCAAAACTTTGAACTTTAATATGCAGTACAAATAATATGCAACACTTTGAACTTCAATATGCAGTACAAATAATATAAAGATGCACCATTTTTTATAGTTTGTAGGTTAGCATGGGAGGAATGGTTAGTATGTGATCTCACCCCTATCTGCTTATATATAATGCGCGTAAGAATGTTAACTTGGGCTTTTCCGTTGCTACAGTCCAACGTTTAACACTTCCGTTTTCTTTTCTCGGTTTATCGGCTCACCCGCAAAAAAAGAGCCTGGATGTCGTCTTTCCCGATTCATTCCTCCTTAGCTCTCCATGAATTCGCAGACCGCAGAGCTTAGGTTGAGAGGAGTCTTCTTCTGCCAAGCCTCTCAGCCTCCATGGAGTACAAGCAGCTTCAATAAACATCTATGGCCTCACCGGGAACTCCAATCTCTTTTCAAGAAAGCTTTTTGTCGTTTCGGCTAATTTGGGAAAAGTCTCTTGGGCGGGGAGAACCATCAATTTCAGCCCAGCTCTTTCAATCTCATGAGGTATGCAAATCTATGTTTTAATTTAACAAACTGGAGATTTCTCCTATCGCAAGAGGCTCTTCGGGATTCTCCTTCTCCTTAGTAGGGCTACTAAGGACAAATTAATAATCTGTATTGCTCTACAGATTATTTGCGTGCCGATGTTTTGAAAAATCCTTAGTAGAGACAGTATACAATGCCAGGAGGAGTAATTTTTGGTTCAAATAAAGTGTCATCCGTCTGTTTGTGAATCAAATATCTTCAGTTCTATAGAGCCTCTTGCGTGTTGAAAGTTCAGGTGGTTATCTTATGTTTAACCCATGCTAAAAAAAGACAAGAATGCAATATTTTTCCCAAATTTCTCTAAAGCTTGGATACAGAAGATATCCAAGCTTTTCAGAGAAGAATTAACTGAAGGTACATTTTGTTCTTAGCATTGTCAATTCACTGGAATGCAAATCTATGTTTTAATTTAACAAGCTTGTAACATGCTCAAATGGTTGATGAAGGTACATTTTCTATATGAAATCCATGTGAAATATTTGAAAGGATTCCCATTTTGAAGCATGACAAATAAAAACTTTTATTGTTGTTTTGGATGTTCAGATGATACATAGATATCAACAGAGGATGAGCGGCATCTGGGGTAGGTCAAAGACAAGTTCGGTGCTTATTGTGTGCACTTCAGTTTTCCTAAAAGTTTGGTGGTAAATACTCTTATTTATTTTATTTATTTTCACTGCACATTTATTTTTGTATTTGTTATTCGTTTCCTAATTCTGTTAAATTTAAGTCGAACCTATGTGTACACAATAGGTTGTTGAGGGGCATTTGACAGAAGCGGATGCTAGAGAAATAGAGTTTGAGAAGCTGGTTATTGAGTATATTTATTCCAAGTTAAGGTATGTGTTGTCTTGATTATTCAAAGCTTGATAGTTGCTGAGAAAGAATAACAAGAGGCAATTACTTTATTTATTATGAACATTGGTGGATCTTGTAACAAGCATCTCTCACTGATGTCGTCAACTAAGCTTTCTCCTCCGCTTTTGTCTGCTTTTGTTTTTATTACATTTCATTTCCAGTGTAAGAACGAGAAAGATGTTTGGGTCTGACTCTTGGATTAATCAGAAACTTTATGCTTGAGATGAGGTTTTTTCGTCCAAATTTTCCGCTAGCCAAGATCTTCCCTCCTTGTTTGTCTTAATCATGAATTCCCCACTTGCAGGTCTGCGGCAATGTGTTACTGCTCCTATTTCCAAACAAAAAGTCCCTCCCCTAAAGGTGAGGACTTTAGGTCTACAAGATCTATGTACTATTGAGAGAAGAAACCCCTCAAGGCACTATGCCATTATCTAAGGTGAGATGGACTTTCTGAGCGTGAGAAGGTAAAATTGCATCCCTCATAAACTCTCGTCATACTGTCAAAATCATTCATAAAAAAATGCTTGGCAAACGAGAATGAATTTATTCGTTTCTCTTTGGTCTATGTTTTTGATGCATCGGTTTATTGTTCTCAATCACTTATTGGATTTTAGTTAATTAGTTTAATCATTTCCATATTTTTAGCAAAAGCTTATCGTTGTGTTAGTAAGGATTCAAAAGGATGGGATAGTGGAAGTTGATCTGACTAAGAACAAACCTGTAACTTCTGAATCGTTGGAGATACAATCCGTTGAAGAGCCACACCCTGTTGTTTAGAGTATCAATACAGGATTTAATAATTTAGTTCCTAAGCTGCAAATTGTCATGCTTGTAGTGGGAACAAGGGGAGATGTTCGACCATTTCTTGCTATAGCAAGGGGGCTGCAGTCATGTTTTTTTTTAAGTCTTTTACACTATCCACAAAAAAGTTTAGGTGAAGGCTTATGATACGATCCAGGTTCCTTAAAATTTCAATCTAGAAGGGTGTTTTGGTTATGTAACTTTTTATTGGTTTTAGTGGATATGATAGTTTTTATTGCTTGCGTTTTATTGACCCCATATAGTGATGCAAACAAGACTTTGGTCATTGTGATAGACTTGCAACTCATGCAAACTTTCATGATTTTGTGATGGAAGATTTTCTCTATTTCATTTCCTTTTTTAATCATCTGAACTTCCCTATCTTCATATCATTCGTTTCAGCTTCGTCCATCCCTTCTTTCCAGCTCTGTGCTTCTGGTCGTGTTGCTCTCCATAGTGCCTCTTTCCCATCTAAATTCTAGGGTTCGCAAAAAAAATCATCTGCCGAAACCGGCAAGAAGCTGCTCCGGTAATCATCTCCCTGTTATACCAAGCAAGGTTATCTGATATTGTCCTTTATTAAATTACAATTCCATCTTTGTTAAATTACAATCTGCAAGGTTAGTTCATATATACGATTCAACACTATTCAATTTAAGTTAACTTTGAGATAATTTTTTGTTGTAGTCATGGAGAATGACTACCATAGGTTCAGAGAAGCTTCAAAGTGTCACTGGGAATCTATGAAACTGTGTTATCAGAAGGTATTATATATTTTTGGGTTTTAAATGCCAAACTCATACATAATTTCCTGAGAGAATACACATACTGCTGCAGGCTGCATCAGCTTCTACCAATGAAAATCTGTGCTGCTTACCTTTCTGAACAGGTATGTCATATGATGTTGAGAGCTGATGTTGCATCTATCTTTGTTTCTTTTTATAACAATTTGGTATTGTCCTTGAGTCCTTCATAATGCACTTATTGGAACTTCCTATATAAATTTAGAAGCGGTATATTTGCATGAGTTGCTCTGTTGTTTGTCGACCAACATTTTCTCTTTCATGGAGCCTGTCACAGGGTAACACACATTATACCAAGGCCAAAGAAACTGACAAAAAGGCCAGCCTGGATGTATTTGAAGCCGGGTCTTCCATTTGATGTATTTATTTGCTTGAAATCAATTTAACAAACACTTTAACTTGCATGAAGTTCAGCAAGCTCATCCATTTCAGCTAAATATCCCTTCCCAAATGTTTCCCTTTTTTTTATTTCTTACTCTAGCTGTGAAATCATTTAGGGTTATCACGGGATGTGGGAGCAGTGGTGTTGGGAAGTCGAGACTGAAAAATTATGTACCAAATATATCATTTTTCTTTTACCTTTAGTTAGTTTAGATAAGATAGTTAGTTTAGATAAGAATATCAGACAAGAAAGAGGGAGGAAAATATATTTATATAAAGCTTCTTTATAGCATGCAGGTAATTAACTTATTGGAAAAAGGAGGTATTGAATGGTGGGAGGAAAATAGAGGAGTATTGCTCATGAAGCTTCACGGGGAAGCAAATTTTCTTGAAAACCAAAATGGTTCTAAGCTGAAGTGTTGATCCCTTAACATGCCACCCTCAACTGCTTAAGTCATTGCACTCATCCCTTGATCTGTACTGTCAAAACACAAAAGTCAAAGCATTATAAAGAAACATTTCTGGTTATACAGTAGGGGGGACTTTTACTAGAACATGGTTGTGTTCTAGGTAATTTCCTTCATCAGTTCAGTATCCACAGGCTGAAAATATCTTTTGCAGCTCGGGTCTGCCAAACTTTTCATGATAACACTATATCTATTAGCCTTTTAATTTATTTTCTTTTCGACCCAAACTTACTTTAATCTTTTATTCAAACAAAAGTAATTACCTGATAATTGACTGAACTATGGTTTAGTAAATTTTTTGTATAATAAAACGACATACTTGATAATTTATTGGCGGCTGTTTTTTCATAGTAAAAGTTTGTTTGTTCATTATGATGACAAACTGCCCAATATGATGACACTAACATCCCTTTCTTATTTAGTTTTTATTCACTCTTGCTTCTGATTTTTTCCCCAACTTGTGATTTTGTAGGTTGGTGAAGTTTATAGGTCTCTTAACTTCACATTTTTCAACTATGACAATACTTACATATTTTACTTAAGCGGTTTGTTATGCATATGCAATTAGAACTCCATTTGCAACTCCATGGATTACTGAGGTTCAGCTTCACTACCCATCTTCGTTCATGTAGTTCCTGTTAATGCGATTGCATTTTATGTTACCTTAGCCTTCTGGATTAATATCCTTTGTTAATTGAAGTTGTTTTTGCGATTGCATTTCTCAGATTATTGAAGTTGTTTTTGTTTAGGTAATTTTGAGTTTAACTAAATCTGCCATTTCCTTTTTGTTACTGAATAAAAACGGTATGTAACTAAACTTACTAAAGTCCATGTTTAACTATTTCATTTCTTCTTGAACATATTTTTTAATATGGTTTAATTTGATGCTGGATGACTTAGAGTGGCTTGCGCTCTTAAATTGACCGTATTTATCCATTGGGCATCAACCCTCGCGCAACGCGCGTCCCCATGCTAGTGTGTGTGTGTGTGTGTTCACATGAGAACCATGTTTAACGTGAAAACGTGAGAACTCCACTTTTAAGCAGATGTGATGCACTATATCATGTATATGTTGCACATTTACACGTTGACGAAATATTTAGAAATCTGCCACCACATTTGTTTGATATTAGCATGTTTTGATCAAAATTTAAAAAGTGCAATAGATGAGCCTCATAGTGCACCGAAATGTGTTAAAAGTGTATGGTTCTCACGTTCTCAGTTCTCACGTTAAGCATCGTTCTCATTGGAACTAGGATGGACTCGGGCCGGGCCAACCGGCCCAGAACCGGACCGGCCCGCTACTGTGCGGGCCCGGACCGGCCTGGTGAACCGGTTCGGTTCTGGTTCGGGCCTCCCGGCCCGGTGGTATACCGGTCCGGGCCCGGGCCTCCAGTTTAGTGAACCGGCCCGGCCGGGCCGGGCCCGGTTCGGCCCGGAATTTAATTTAATTTTTTTTTTTTTTGAAATTTTTTTAAGTTTTGGGTTGGATTAGGTATTTTGGGCCATTTGAGGTGGTTTGGGGTGGTTTGGGGTGGAGGGGGAGGGGGTTAAATAAGAGAAGAAGAAGAAAAGAAAAAAAAAACATTCCGGGTGGCCCGGCCCGGCCCGGTTCTGGCCCGGAACCGGAACCGCCCACCACCGGTTCGGGCTCGGGCCTCCTTTTTCTGAACCGAGGCCCGGCCGGGCCCAGGCCCGAACCGGGCCCGAACCGGAACCAGTCCACCCGTAATTGGAACCACACTCTATATATAATTATATATTGTAGGAAGGTCTCCATTAAAAGCGTTTTTAATTAGAATGATTTTTTTTTTTTGTTTGATTTGTCTGTTATGATTTGATTTGGTCTGGCCTGTATGATGTAATCTGGTCAGATCATATTAATCGGGCATTTTTTTTACTCTTTTTGCCAAAGAAATTTATCTCATACAACTAACAGTTCAAATGCAACATTTCAAAATTTTACATAAATAATGATATATCCTAAATGTTATATTATCAATTCTTAATTGTAACTTATTTTACATTTGAAATACATGTACCTACAATTAATTTATAATAGCTTTTTATTACTCATTATATATCACGCCCTATACGTATTACAAAGAATTACTCAAACTACTTTGTGTTATTTTTAAATTTAAAAAAAAACAATTATAAATTATGGAAATTTTGTCATGTTCAATTAGAATTCATCGGGGCTCCGATAAAATAAAATTTCATGTTTATTTTTATTGTTTTATAACTTTTCTACTTCTACTACAATTGTTACAAAAAATATATCAACTTCATAATTTTTTATTATCCTTCGTATGACATCAATATTGAATATATAAAAATATAAGTAATTTTTAAAGTGATAAATTATTTTTATTTTTTAAAAAATAGGTATTTTTTAAAGTGTTAAATTATTTTTCAAAATGGATATATAAAAAGTGTTAAATTATTTTTTTATTTTTATATATTCAATATTGATCTCATATGAAAGATAATAAAAATTTATAAATTATGGTATATTTTTTGTAACCATCAAAGTACAAATTGAAAAGTTATAGCACTTTAAAATAAATATGATATTTTAGTTTTTGAATTACCTTAGCTTTAGGAAGTTTTCTAAAAGAACGTAAGATGAGTTCTAATCTAACTTTAATGCTAATTAACGGACTTATAGTTCTAATCTAACTTTAATGCTAATTAACGGACTTATGGAAAGAAAATACTACGTATAAAATATTATAATCAAAGTTTGCTTAGAAGATGACATATGGTAAAACTTTCCATAATTGTATCTCTCAAATGTACTAGATTCTCACCCGCGCGATGCGCGGATGAATATTTACCAATTTCTGATTAAGATGTCAATTATTAAAATGCAAAAAGAATTGAACACAAAATAAAGCGGTAAGTAATTATATTAAATGTTCGTAGTTAAAGAGAGATCGAGACAACGACGAAAACGGGCCAACGTAATATTTTTTTGGCAAAGGCAAATGTATCCAATAAAAAAAGATACTCCGTATAACATTTCAAAGTACGAAGTGATAAGTAAAACCGTAGAAGTTGCAATGTAAAGTTATACTACAAATTCTGAAAGACTTTTTTGTAAACAACATTAATAGTATGGTCGACTTGTTTGTCATCCTCAATATAGATCAATATTTGCAATTGGTAACTCTAGACGCTGCAACGTAAGTTGACCATGAGTGAAGACTGCTCACAAAAATTTATCAAAAAAATCAATCAGGAAACACTTGAGGTGACTTGACACGGGCTTGGCTGTAACGAACTCTGTGTTTGACTTGACTGATGAGAATAATAATTATTGTAATACCGTAATAATAATTTTGATGATAATAATAATACAAAACATTTTAAATTATTGATGTTATAAACTTAACTACTCCGTATTAACTAACTCAATAAAAATTAATTGTATAATTATTATAATAATAACAACTATTACTATTTACAGGCCAATGAATATGCTAAAATCGGATCATCTCCATTTTTATACTGCCCATTTTACATCTGACCCAGCCCAACACATTAAACTAAAAGAGCTACCCAACAAACTAAACCTAACCCACAATATGTAACCACCTTTACCTTTCGGTCATACCATTTACACTTCAGCCTCGTTGACAGACCATCGGATCATTTATACCTAATTTAGCCTCCTTCATAGACCACCGGTTGCTCAACCTTCGGCCTCTATCTATGGGTTGATTCAGATTCTCACCATTCTTCTCCATATATGCTACACTCAGCCTCTCAAAATGGAGATTGTCTTAAACTCATATTACAGCTCAAGGCGAGATGATTTTTTTGCCCAAAGTTGACATTTTTCGACCTTTGCTACAGCTACAGCGGCTGAGTGCTCTTCTTTCTTCACTCTGGTATATCTTATACTGACACCTTCAAATGTGTTTTGTGTGAATTGGATCACAATTTTCTAGTTCAATATAAGCAACATAAGAGAGTATTAAAATTCATGATATCTTAATGAACATGAATAAAAAAGATATCATAAAAACCTTCTAATAATTCATGATATGACAAAATGTTTTAATTCAATTTTAAATTCTAGTGGTCATGAACTTACACTTATAATAAATTTAATCAAATTTAAATACATGAGCTTAATTTGAAAAAAAATGTCAAGACAACCTCTAAATATTTTCAAATTTTAATATACTAATAATCAACGTCAATAGTTTCAACAATTAACAACAACAATAGCATTTCTAATTTATAGATTCGGATAGTCTAATATTTAATGTAATAACCATACAATAGTATAATATAGGAAAAAATAATACTCCCTCTGTTTCATTCAATCACCTTATTATATTATGTGATTTATGTCTAGTATATACCTATCACATTCATTTTTGAAAATATGATCCAATAGCCCAATTTAATAATTCCTTAAATAATCGTGTTGTTTTATAATGAAAAACTTTAAGAATGACGGATGCAGCATTAATTTTGATTTTAATAATTATTAATTAATATAATTAAGAATAACAATAATTTACATACTCCCTCCGTAACTTTAAAATTTTCACATTTCAAAAGTAGGTAGATTAAGAATAGTGAAAGATGATATGAATTATTGAGGGTATGATGGGAAAATAGAGGAATAATGTGGTGGAATGTAGGATAAATCCAAAAGAAGTAGTTGTAATAGTGTATTATTTTAAGAATTATTGAGGGTATGATTGGAAATTTAGAAATGGGAAGATGTTTGTGTTACGGACGAAAAAGTAAAGTGGGAAGATTTTTAAGTTACGGAGGGAGTATTTTATACCACTTATATATCTTAAAATCGCAGAAATTTAAAATTTTAATATACAAACGAACAATATTATCAACTAACTTTTGATTTGCCTCTTGATTCTATCATGAGCCTTTTGGTTAATGATTCTCTAGATTAATTGAAAGATTTTGTTTATTCTATGAAAAAAAGAAAATATATATATATATATATATATATATATATATATATATATATAGAGAGAGAGAGAGAGAGAGAGAGAGAGAGAGAGAAATCATCATGTCAGGCCGGCCTGACCGGGAGAGCCGTCCGGCCGAGCCCTTTTGGCGACCTTCCCGGTGGAATTTTTTGATGAAATTTTTTGAACATGTTCCTCATCAAGTCTGGTTTGTCCATACCACATTTCAGCTCCAAATTCGATCGGGAAGGCATTCAAATCTTTTTTTGAAGTTGACTGCGTTTTTATATGTATATTTTGACGCAGTCAACTTCAAAAAAAGATTTGAATGCCTTCCCGATCGAATTTTGAGCTGAAATTTGGTATGGACAAACTAGACTTGATGAGGAACATGCTCAAAAAATTTCATCAAAAAATTCCACCGGGAAGGTGCCAACCTAACACTTCCTAAATAAATAACCTTTTACCCAGCAGCCTAATCATTTAACCATCAGCCTCTTCAACCGACCAGCGGTTCTTCTTCTTCTTCTCATCCGGCTATACGGTCGCTCTTCTGTCTATGGCGATTAGTGTGTCTTTTAGTCTTACCATCCCTCTCCATAAAAAGTAAGATGGCAGTATATTTTGAAAACATTTTGTGTATCGTTTATACGGAGTATATACCAATTGAACGCAGAGTAGCGATCCTGTCAGGCCGGCCTGACAGGACTCGCCGTCCGGCCAAGGGCTTTCGGGGCCCTTCCCGGTGGAATTTTTTGATGAAATTTTTTGAACATGTTCATCGTCAAGTCTAGTTTATCCATACCAAATTTCAGCTAAAAATTCAATCGGGAAGGCAGTCAAAAAATTCCCTACTAAAACTGGGCAGTTTATATATATAAACTGCCCACAGAGGTGCAAAGGCAGTAGGCCTTCTGTTAATTCTTAAGAGGTGTTCTGCTGAACACAGATACCACTTCTATGGAGTTAATCAGTTAGAAATATGAAAGCAATAAGTAAATGACATCAGGGATTTTTATAGTGGTTCAAGGAACAACTTGTTCCTCTAATCCACTGTTCCACTAAGCTTGTAATAAACCAATTACAACGCTCAAGTCCTAGCACTTAAGAAGCTCTCCACGTCTTCTTCAAGTGTAGATGTCTCCTGAGATGCACTTCCTTGCTTCCTTTAAGACTGGTCTTGTTTCACTGAGTCTCCTTGAAGTATCACCACTTCACCACTCAAGCTACTTTAAGACGTCCTTCTTTGTAGAAGATGTTCTGTTGAAAACAGGGTTTTCTCCAACTTTCTTCGTCACAAAAGATTTGTAATGAGGTGCTTGAAGTTGTTGAAGAACAATAGGAACTTTGCTCTTGTTGGTGATGAAGAATATATGAACTTATGATCTTCCCAACGTAGGCTTTTCTTGTTGATGGAGATGGAGTTTGAATCTCAAGAAAACTTCTTAATGTTGTAGTGGGAGCAAAAGATGTAGCAAAGTTATCCAGTTGTTCTTTGAGTAGTATCTTTTATACTGAGGTTGTCTTCCTGTTGGAGGAGGAGACAACTGCATTGAATGAGCGTACTGTTTGAGTTGACCGGTTGGGCCCGCAAGTTTGGCGGCTTGCTATTTTGGGATAGGCTTTCCAGGAATCTCGGTCAATCATCAGCTTTTACTCTTCAGCGTACGGGATGCATTAAATGTGCATTTAATGCGTGTACTGTAGCTTTTCCGTTTAAGTCATCTAGCCGTTGAGCGAATCTTCTGTTGAATTCACCGGCATAGATAGTTTCAGTAATTCTCTAAGTGTCAGGCCTTCTGGTATCTTTAGCCGAAGATCGATAGGTGAAGGTCTCGAGCACTTCTGTTGGAAAAAGCTATCAGAGAGTCCTTATCCTTGAGTCAGGATAAAGCCCAACAGAGGACCTTTTGCACTGATGTTCTGATGAGATTCTACAGAGAGTCAGAGGACCTTCTGTCAGGATAGAGGTTCATCAGAGGGCCAAAATCACCTTCTGTCTGGAGGTCTTCTGTTAGTCGATTATTCTAAAATGCTTACACTTAGAACAATTCTAATACAATAATTCTAATGGGGGTAGTCTAAAGTTCTGATAAATCTAGCATCATCAAAATCTAAATACAATTATTCCTTACAATTTTCCCCTTTTTGATGATGCCAAAACCCTTATTCTACTTTCAGAGAAGTGCCTCTCACCAGTCACAATAAACAAATTAGAATTTTCAAAATCTTATTTTTGGTGGGCAGCTTAGCATAGAAAGTAGTGAGAGTTTACAAACAAGAAATTCAAAAAAAACAATAAGGTAAGAGAGTAAGCAATGATAGAAAGCAAGCAGAAAGCTTTATTGAGCAGAAAGGGTTAAGAGAAGTACAGAGGTGTTCAATTACAAATTTCCTTCCTGAGCTGCTCTTAAAGCTAATGCTTCCCTTTTGTCATAATCCTGGAGTTGTGCATTTACTTTGGCTCTTATTACAGCCAGATGACCAGACACCTGATGAGAGGCCCACACAGGTGCAAGCTTGTGATTTAAGTAGTGAAGAACAGCTTCATCAGCATCTTTTCCAGGGAGCACATTTCTTGTAAACCAGTACTCAGCTTCTTCAAAAGATCCACCATGCTTGATTCTCAGAGATCCATGATAGATGTTCTCCTGTTGAGTAGGAGTCATCACCTTTTTCATTTCCTCAAATTGCTCTTTTGAAATCTTTAGAGAGCCTTCCTTTCTCCAGTCTAAGAGGGTAAGAGCCTTCTTCTTAGTACCTCTCTTCACGGGGGCTGGGATAGATAGCTGAACAGAGGAGCCAGCAGCAGCTTTCTTCTTGAGCCTAAGCTGCTCAAAGTAAGGTGTAGGATCTGGAGTTGTTCTGGCAAGCTGCAGCTGTTTAGATTGAGGGTTCTCTTCCCCCTTTTTGGCATCATGTAGATCTGCAAGTTGCTCAAGTGCCTCTGGTAGGGTCTGGGTAACAGATGTGAGACCTTCAAGCAATTCCTGCTGCTTTTGAATACCAGTGGCAATGTTCTTTTGACCAGCTTCTAGCAGAGTTAGCTTCTGGTAACGTTCCTTATCTTTCTGAAGAAGGTCCAGGCTCTGCTTCTTATGTTCTTTGCATAGATCCTGTAACTCCACGAATCGCTCAGAGGATTGATCAGCATACCATTGAAGAATATCAATAGACTCAGATATTTCCTTGATGGCCTCATTTTGCTTGTCAAGAGTTTGAGAATGTGAGAAGAGAACAGAATTGATACCGTCCACTTCTTTGGATATTGCATCTACTTTGGTTGTAGAGGAGTCTATGAAGACTGTCAAGGTTGTGGTCAGAGAGGCAACCTTCTCAGAAAGTTGTTGTAACCCAAGCTCAAGATTGTGGTTGACAAGGGTGAGATGTTCATAATGATTGTCATTGATCAGAATGAGCTTATTCATCCCATCCAACATCTGACCACCAAATTCTTCCGCAGATGCAACAAACTGGTTAAATGGAATTTGGGGCTCTGCATTTTCAAATCCTGGCATCTCCAAGCCTTTTCCCTTGGGTAGAGGCTGATGTTCTTGCACAGAGGATAGGTGCTGATCTTGCATTTCATGCTCAAGCTGCGTCAGAGGAGGGGTCTTCTGCCTTTTAGAGGTGGCACCATTCGGATTGTTGTAGAGGAATCCAGTTTGACCAAGAAGATCCTCATCTGTGGAGGAGTTCTCATAAGAAGAGTAGGAGGGGAATTTATCCCTGTCCACTTGTTGTTTTCTATGCAGAGGAGGGTTGGAGGCAGTAGAATGCCTGGTGTAGCCTTAAGGAGCAGGAGTGACAGAAATGGTCTTGGGGTCACAAGAGCTATCACTCCCGTGCTGCATATGTTGGTTTTGAGGAGAGGGAGGAGGAGGGGATTGTGAACGTGATTTGTGGGGGGTAATCTGTTTGCACGGTGAAGGGTTCTGTGA